AAAAAAAAAAAAAAAAAAAAAAAAAAAAAAAAAAAAAAAAAGGAGGATGGGAGTTACACTGGGTCATATTAACGGTTGTCCTTGGTCGCAATTACAGGCCATCAGGTTGGGCAAAGCGAGAAGCAGTGGCTGTGTCTATCGATACCTACCGTCTTAAGCGGAATAGAACGCCCGGTCATTATAGCTGTATTTGGGGCAACTTGCGGACCAGGTGCAGCAATAATGACCAGGCGTTCTATTCGGGGTGAAGAGAGTAGCGTTGCTGGTGAATGTATATGGCTCAATGCACGAAGACGCAAAGACAAACAAACTCCATAGAGAGAGCTATGCATACTATGGACTTTTCAGTCTAGGTAGAGACGATGAGCCATGGCAATAAAAAGCTCGGTCATTATAGCTGTATTTGGGGCAGCTTTCCAACCAGATGCAGCGATAATGACCGGGCATTCTACAGCAATGCTGGTAAATGTAGATGGCTAAATGCTCGAAGGCGCAAAGACAAACAAATTCCACAGAGCGAGCTATGCATAGTATGCACTTTTCAGCCTAGATACAGATGATGAGCCACTGCACTGCTTACTGGACTGTGGAAAGGCTCAGCAGATTCTGGCAGGAGGATGCTATCATCGTATCATAGTCTGTATCTAGACTGAAAAGTGCATAATATGCATAACTCGCTCCTGTGGCAAAGGGTCAGTGCTTCACCCCTTCCCATGAAACCCAGCAACAAGGCTGACGGGAACACAGAGTTCGAACACTTGGACAATGGGACGCTGGACCCCGTTTCCAGCAGGTGTTGCTCCCCACCAATGGACCGGAGCATCAGGACGGGGGCCCTATGAGAAGGAGATGCTCATATCACTCCCTCTAGTAAGCCCCGCCCGATTTCCAACAAAAAAAAACAAAAAAACAAAGATGCTGAATACTTGGACACAGTTTGAGCAAGGATATTATCAGAAACCATGATAGGATGGGCTGTATATATGTACATAAACGCCGACGAGATAGTTTGTCACAGCCCCTCGTTCGAAACAGTTTGTCACAGCCCCTCGTTTGTTGTCCTCTTCTCTCTCTCTGCCTACGGTTTACCGGGCAGTTCTGTTTGTGACGATAAACAGAGCTGCCCGGTAAACTGTTTCGTCGGAGCTGCACCGAATCATCAGGAGGCTGAACCCTATATAATATACATATACAATCGCTTTTATGTCGAAGATCATTCCTTTGGCCCCGTGCTGCAGCACGACAATGTACCAACACTCTGCGACCTTCTCCTTTGCATTGCTACAGACACTGTTACACTCAGCTGTAGTCGCCATCGTCTCTGTCGCAATCACTACAATGACATGGTTTCTGCATTTTTGTGTGTAGAGGACTGTCCCTCCGTTCCTGACTGCCGCATCTGGACACTATATGTCCATTTTGCGGCCATGGACGCTATACTGAATGCATGGTCTTTTGTGGTGACCGTTCTTCCTTCATTTTGGCCTGCAATCGACATGCCATTTGTCGGGAGTGTATGTTGGGCATTCTCAATGCCAGCCGTCGTGGCAATTGTTGGGCTGATAATGCTCAGCTAGGTCTTCCATGCGCCCATCCACCCCATCCTTACAATGTGTGTCCTCTCTGTCGTCAAGGACAGACTCATTCTTGAGCCTTTTTTTATCCTTACTTTCCCTTTTTCGTTCTTTGCTTCTCGTCTCTTCATCTGCAATCAGACTCCCTTTCTTTTCCACTCCGCATAGATGCAAACAGATGGTGATTCACTCTGGCGCACAGCGCCCACTCAAAGCTCAGAGATACGGCAATCAAGAGCACAGTTCAGACGTAAACTCGCTTCAACAAGCTATGGCGCATCAGCGCCGGTACAACCCAACTCCCGTCACCAAGTCCAACACCACTGTTCACACTTACGCGACTCTGGATCACCCTGAATACCACCACACACACACACACACACACACTGCCTATCTTGCTCCTGTCGCGGCTATGGCCGCTCTAACGCTACTTCCTTTGGCTACGCTCTCTCTTCAGCCCACTTTGACTTCCGGCAACCTGCAGACCACCTTCGCACAAGACGCTGTAGCAGCCCTTCCGCATGGCTTACGCAGCGAATGCATGAATGGCTGGGTGCTGCCTCTTGATTTATACTTCTCTAACTCGTTGGTCTGCCCCCTTTCCACCGGGCCCATGGTGCACACAGTCCCTCATGGTACTTGCTGGACTGGACTGCGACTGACGGGGACCGGTACCGCTGACTGCACGGGGTTGCACTGCCGACTCAGTGCAGTTGGGCTTACCACTTGCCCACTTGCCTCTGGTTAACACGTGAGACATTTTTGGAAGGCCACTTCCGGACCTTCCAGAAGTCTGTGGACTTGGCCTTTCGAGTACTGTAGCAGCTACGACCTTGACCTTTCAGGACTGTAGCAGCTACGACCTTGACCTTTCAGAACACCTACAGCTACGACCTCTACAGAGCTATGACCCCTACTCAACAGACCTACAGATCGAACCCCTACAACTAGACACACCTACGATATACAACAAACAACTACCAAAACACAGGTCACAGGTTCAAACACTCGGATGTCAACTCGATACTGTACATGAGCAAGGTAAGGTCTGGGGATCGAACTCTAGGGACCCGCATCTGTGACTGCAGAAAGGTGAAAACCGTTTCGCATCCCTCTTCCTTGTGCTTATCACACCCCCCTTTACTCTGCCTCTTTCTCACAGCGTACAAGTGGCCCCTTATGGAACATGGGGATGCGGGAAGCTCGTGCTCAACTGCATCAACGTGGGGCGAGCCTTGTACGTGAGAGGCACGGTGAAGGGGGAGTTAAACGAAGAATAAGAAGATGAATAGTTTCAGTGTGCCCCTCATCTTTCTTTTGTTTCTTTGTCTTTACCATTTGTTTCGCAAAGTGCGCTCTTTTAGTTCATAGTTATGTGACAATATATATATAAATATATATATATATATATCGTCAAATAGAACTGCCCGGTAATATATATATATATATATATATATATGAATTGCAGTGGCATGCAGGCTGTACACTAACTTCGTTTGATGTTGCCTGGTGTTGAGCTCTCCGGGATTCGATCCCATGACCTGTTTTGTTTGCTGTGTTTTCTTTTTTGTGTGTGAGAGCCCAACTGGGCTTGATCCCTAGGTCTGCTTGGAGTAGTCTCTGTAGGCTAGCTGTAATACCACTAGGTCTCTCTGTTTTGTCCTTCTGCCATTGAGTTGTAGGTCGTTTCTGTCCTCCCCTTTTGCCAATTTCAGGTCTAGATTCGGTCCTAGGCTATAGGCTGTCCTTCCTAGGCTGTAGGCTGTCGAGTCAGGGGAAACCGCGGTCTACAAAAGTGTCGAGGGCAAGGAAAAACGGGTTCTGTCTCGTCATTTGTTTCCATGAAGTGCTGCTGGAGGTCGTGTGCTGTTTGGGTGCTGCGTTATTTCACTTGCGGCATCATCTTCATGCTGCTAGGGCTGTCCTCCATAGCTGGGGCTTCCTGGCTCGTGTTGTGACTGCGCTGGGCATCAGGCCCTGAGCGCAGTGAGGCGCCTCCTCTACCTGTGCTGTTGGGTATAGGCAGGGTCGCCATTGAAACCCTTCTTGCAAGTGTTTGTCGAAGTGACAGCCATCTCCTTCTTCATCAGGGTTGGTGGCGCTTGATGGGCTTGATAGGTTGGGCGCAGGCCTGCGCCATAGCTGTGAGCTTGAGGTCGGGAGGAAGAAGAAGTCTCCATTACTTGTCGAAACTCTCTTCTTAGTTGGTTCGTGGATGTTAATAACGTGGTTGGGGTTCTTGGAAATAGCAGTGCATTGATTGGCTTGAGGAAGCGGGATATTAATGACAATCGACTTGAATCGAGTACTTTCAATTCTATTTTTTGGTTTTAAAGAGTGCTTCCACTGTGTATTCTCTCATCCGGTGTGGTGCGAATTGCTCTCTCCAAGAGCTCTTGTTGTGGCGCATGCGTACGGGAACATGTGGATGCCACGCTGTATCTCGTTTCAATCAGGCACATAACATAACTGTGACACTCCGACAAAACAGTTTGTCACAGCCCCTCGTTTGCCGTCCTCTTCTCTCTCTCTGCCTATTGTTTACCGGGCAGCTCTGTTTGACTATATATATATATATATATATATATATATATATATATATATATATATATATATATATATATATATATAT